CAAACTGTGGCCTACTCCGTTTTCTGTATAGGACTTGGTGCATCAAATGAAGATGTAATTTAGTTATGTTTAGGAGCTTGATTGAGAACAAGCTGCTACGTATGTGTGGGTGATGAGCTCAGATCCAGTCGCAAGCGTTCATGTATGGGCGATGTGTACCATACCTATTCAACACCTCGTGACACCCCCAAATATTTCATGACCGCTATGCGAACATGAGTGATACGTACCCACTAACCCTACAAAAAAACCCTCGCGTACTCAATGACGGGGCTGCGCACGACTGCGTTCACTCGCCCTTCGTCATCGATTTCTGATGGCCATGACGTCACAGACATCAAGGGCGCTGTTAATCAGTTTTGACACGTCGATCTCCGTAACTCGCGGCCGCCTTTGATATATCCCCGCATCTGGTTAGGAAGCGAGATTGCCCCCGTCAGAGCATGCCCGCGACGGCGGCGTGGTCGCTCCTGTTCGCGCAGTCATGTGCCTCCGACTCAACAGCGGCCGGCATGGAAATAGATGAAAACTATTTCACGTCCGGGCGGCCGTCGACGGAGGCGATGTTCGGGGCCATCATCTCGCCAGCAAATATGGCGGCGCGGCGACGGCGGCGGCAGTGTCCGGGTCGCCCCGCCGCCGCCGGCATGACGGGGACATTTTACGTCGTACCTGATGAGATGATGGGACGCCGGTCCAACCGGACGACCGTTAATTCTGGACCGACCGCGATTTGCGCCTCGCTATCTGCGGCCCGCGACGCACCGCTTACCAAATGACGCTCGTATCCGCCCCATTTTAAGGCGGGGGCCATCGGTGACCGTCGCAAATGTGGCGCGTCGTTGGCCGCGATGGACGGCGCTTCCGTCGGCACGCTCTCCGGCGCTGAGTGACGGCTGCACATTGAGCGGGCGCATTTCCGGCCTGCATCAGATGGGGCATCGCAAGCGTCTGTAGGGGTAATTAGTTTGGAGAAAGGCGTTCCTATCCAGGGCTGTGTTCGGTGGCCCAATGATGCTGCGCTAGCCCCAATTGCTATCTAACCTTTTGTGAACGAGCGTTGGAGGGCAGGGGGTGTCAGCACAGCGCGTTGGGGTTTAACTTCGGTAGAAAATGTGAAGGTCAATGGTGTACCCCGGGAACATGCGGAGATTGCGCCTGTGGTGGCATGACCTGACCCCACGCAGTCCTTACTTATCGGTTGACTACGAAATCCGGATATCATGGGAACCATTTTTTGCCAGGCACAAGTCAGCGTCCAACATTTTTTCGCATAAATGCAGTGTGGGCTACCTTTACGACAAACCAATTAAACATTCGGGAGCCCATGAAAACCTCAATCAGTGTCTGCATTTGGGTGGAAGACAAAACCAGCGGTATGCATGTGAAGTGATGGAAGGTTTTGATGTGCCGCGAACAGGGAGGATGCTGTCCCGCCATTGGAAATGGCAGCTGATATGTTCGCAGATGGGATGCAGGTGGTCTCGATACACTAAAAAATGTTGACCCCTCTCAATGTTACGTGTGTGTTGTTTTGAAAGTATGAAGGCACCGACAATTACGATAAAATGATTCCATACAACTGGGCCCATCTACCTGTGCTGTCATTAACTCACCTTCATTAGAACTGATCTCACTTCGATACGTCAAACGAACATTGCGGTATCCGTCACTGCGACCCGCCCCGGAACGGAAACAGCTAATTGACACCTTGGTAGATGTTGTCTCTCTGTAGTCTTGTAGGGAAATGCGTGAGCGCTAAAAGGACTCTTTCCATGTTTGTCGACAGTTTTGTTCTTACCAGTGAGAGCACGGTGTTTCCATGTGTAATGCCATATGGTTTTATTTTTATGTCGTCACGTTATGTTCCGCCACGCCATTGGTGCTTTAAAACTATTTTAAAGAACATTTTCACATGTTCCTCAAAAACCTAACATATTTGGAAGTAGTTTCACCTCACGTTTCTCGGAGATGACTTTGGATTCAAGTCCTCGCTAAGTGTACCTAATTGCGAACAGTGTATTCGTATACCTCTCTTAAAGAGCAACTCCATTTCGACAGCTCAGTTTTGCCGAAGATTTGAACTCTACGTGGCCGACCCGGCCACGTAGAGTTCACGTAGAGAGCCAGGCCACAGCCTGGCTCTCTTGGCCAGTTGCCAATTAGTTGCCAAAGACGAGCCACACAGGCTTCATTTGGGACGTGATCCGACATGCCTCCCACACATCTGTCAGCTCGGACTTCATTTGATGGGAAGGTACGTGGTAGCTACTTCACGTTTTCAGCCGTATAATGCATAATACAAGTCGTCAGATACGATTTGACACATGCATAGTATCATCGCATGGAGCTGTAGTTTGTATTAGGACAACTATTATTGATTCATGAGCTCCCAGTGAATTAGGTTTTTCGCATCATTTGTTATGCTGCTGAATTGGGGGCGGGGGGGGGGGGGGGTATGGGCAGAAGAGTATGCGCTTCATTGTGTCTTGATCTGATAGAAAAATACCTATTTTCGACCAGCGCGGGCAAGCCCGCTGTCACATCGCCTGTCTCCGCCACACCGGCCAACTACAACCTCGGAGCAGCTGAGGTGGTCGGGTGAGAATGCGCCGCTTGCAGGTGGAGTGTGAGATCTGGGTTCAAGGCCCGGGACGGACCGAAACTTGCGGCAATATCTAGCGTGTGATGTCAACAAACTACACCGCGACCAGGCAGCTCATTTCCACCAGATCTGCAGTCGCTGAAGTAAAGCAACGTCACGAAAATGAAATGTTTTTTGCGCGCGCGCGTGCCCCCCCCCCCTCCCACACACACTCACCCCCCCCCCACACACACCCACACCCACACCCACGCCCACACGCACCCACACCCACACCCACACCCACACCCACGCCCACACACCCACACACACGCACACGCACACACACACACACACACACACACACACACACACACACACACACACACACACACACACACACACACACACACACACACACACACACACACACACACACACACCACACACACACACACACACACACACACACACACACACACACACACACACACACACACACACAACACACACACACACACACACACACACACACACACACACACACACACACACACACACGGCTGTATCGACCAAGCTATGGTCAGTAACTTCTCAAACAGCCGGGCCGAAGCCGAGTCAAAGTCGCAGCTCGCCGGACTTCTACAGTCCAAGTACAGCCTGGGCTGGGCGGGGAGAGCCGCAAGACGGGATGTCGGAGAATTTTGGTGCCACATGTGCCAACAGCAGTTTCCGCCAGAGGACTTGAAAGATTATGTAAACCTTCAGGTAATCATATGAAATAGACAACGGATTGGGCTGCATGCACATTTTGGGAAAATTACGGGTATGCGTAAGGGTAGTGGTAGACATTTACAAAATTGCGGGGATATGCTTCAAGAAATACCACGCAATGTTACTGCTTGCGCTTTTTAAACAATAATTAGCTCCATTCACACTACTTCTGCAACTATCAACATAAGGGAGCAAGTTTGGCTCTACAGTTTCATGGAGCTTTTTCACCATTGATAGCTAAATTGCAGAAAAATTTAGACGGGCGGGTAATAGTGGGTCCGTATAACTAATAATGAAGGGATAACAGATCAGTGTGAACATAGCCCGTGGATAGCAAGTGGACTGGGTGTAGAAAATCTTACCATTATCTCTGGTTTAAGCGAGGTGATCGCCTGAAAAGATTTCGCCCCCTACTTCTATCAGAATAAGAAAAAAGGCCTTCGGAGGACCTGGCTGAGGTCAGAGGTAAGCCGTGGCAGGCGGATCCTTATCACGCCATTGTGAATAACTGATTCATGTTCAATATATGATGGTCTTATGAATGGGCATGCCGCGCTGTCCAAAATGTCCATTTACGCGTATTTCGCTTCCAAGCCTGGACTGGACGAAATGGCTCGAGCTGCCACGAATGAGGCCTCGTTAACAGACCGTAATCAAATTTGATTGCCATGGGCGCGGCAACGTCCAATTGTAAGTTAACTGATATTTGACTGTAATTTTTTACGACTGTAATTAGACGTCCAGCGACTAATGTTGGTTGCCTCAAGCACTTAGTCAGTGGGCCTCGACGGTTTGCTTGCTTTTCGTCAATGATCCGACGTTTTTTCACGGGGAGACGAAAACGGTACAAATATAGACCCCACATCCTGACAGCTGAATGTTCTATTGTGCTAAGCTGAGAGAATTGATAATCCTCAGAGTGACATCCATCATATTGAAGCCCAAGCGCTCTAGTTCCCAAGTTTGGAAGTTGATACTACTTCTCGTGCATGATATATTTTGGCACCACATAAGCGAAGAAGTCACTCGGAGCGAAAGAAGCTGCGCTTGTCCATCGGGCTTCACGCGCTGCGCTGTTCTTACCTCCCACTTCTGATCACGCGCTCTGCGCAGTGCTAGCAGTGGTACTTGGCCAATATACAAAGCTGTTCAATCAATTTGCAAATGCAGAACGATTGTTTTCACCATTCCAAATGACGTCCATGCGCCAACTATTGGTTACAGGAATGATGCTCGCCGAAAAAGGTGCACCAGCAGCATGCCTTTTTCATTCGCTCAAAATGGATTCCAAAGTGACTCTGACGGCCCATTTTAACGTTGAACGTTCTATATATTGCAATGCATTATATATATATATATATATATATATATATATATATATATATATATATAGGATATGACTCTGTTTCATGCTCCCTTAAGCCCGCAGTGATATACCTGACATTTTCCCAGCTAAAAATTGCAAAGCCATTGAAAGCGCACTTTGTTTCATCATGGTGTCAATTTCTGCCTATTCGCAAAGCTGGACAATTTCCTGACGTAGAATCAACAAGCAAATGGCGCAGCACTGCTCGCACTGCCCACAAAGCATCATCTGTCTTACCTTCCTCGCACGTCTGTGTGGTGACCAGCCTCTCAATTTCAGTGTTCTGCGAAGGCTCACCAAACATCACGAACGCCCGCCACAACGCGTCCTATGACCAGCTGACGTTCGACCTCAACACGACCCTGTACTACTCCTGCCACGAGGGGTACCAGAACAGGGGCATCTTCGCCGAGGCCAAGTGCTTGATGTACAACGAGACGGCCAAGTGGTTCGGGCCGGACATGTACTGCGAACGTAAGTACACTCAGAGCATGAGTACACTCAGCGTGAGTACACTCAGAGCGTGAGTACACTCAGAGCACGTATGCACTGCGTGCAGGCACAAAAGTGCTACAAGTGCCCCCAACTCGCCGCCTCCTCGCTGAGTAGTGTGGTCACGGTCGGCTCGTGACGGACATGGCTGACGCCCTTCAGGCTTGGTTCCTTATTGATTGACGAGCGTGCTCCTTCGAGTCCACTGAAAGCTTGTCATCTGTCCCGGAAATAGTAGACACCCTTCATACGCAAAACATTCCGAGACGTGAACATTGAAAATGCTGCGGCTCATTTTTTTGCTTTCAAGATCGTTTCTTTCAGTATTTTAAGCATACTTTGAACGAACAAAACACAGTCAGACAATGGCCGCAACACCAGTGTCGAGTGGGGGAATTTTCGACGAAGCACCACTTTGTGGAGGCTCATTCTACGATTTTCTCTCCTGTTGCACTCCTTATCCGACTGGTTACAACAGCCTAAGACGGCCGGATGCGCAAAACATGCGTTATTCAAGCTCTCGGCTTGGAGAAATGCAGATGAAGATGTACGGCTTGAGCGGCGTATAAGTTGCGGATGGTCCAACGAGAGGTCTGATGAAGATATGTTTTTTAGACGAGGCCCACCGTAACTGAGGAGCGGTAGCGCGCGGTAATTTCACGAGGCGTTTCAAAACGTCGCGGAGTATGGCACCTATAAAGGTTGCTGTAGCGTTGATAACAAACAGGAACAAACTTGGAAATCGGGCGCTGGTACCGATGCACCGATGCAGCGGATATGTGAAGAGCAACATTGAAAAGCTAAGCATTTACTGATCTCGGCTTAGTGAGCAGATGGTTGCGTGCCCAGATCATTTCTTCAGGGTCATTATCTCACTGTGGTTTTGTTGATCACCGACTTCGCAGCAGGACTATGTGGAGCGAAACTTGCACTGGTTACATAAACGCTGGTATCAGGTCTCAACACTATTGCCGTCAATTTGCGGTGCAACGTTATCAAGCAAATCACGTATAAGACTCTTGTGGTTTCCGTTCTACCTCCTCTAACATACGCGAATGAGCAGGGGATCACAGCGAGCCACCATTGTCCAGTGTTTTTTAAAGCCGTGCCTAAGTGCTTCATTCCTGGCTGCTGCACTTAAATGTCGGCTAGCAAATGAGGCTTGTGTTCTCTATATTTGGCACTCGCGTATACCTGTCCGTGAGCAGAAAGCAAGGTAGCACCCTTACACCGGTTCGCGCTGCGCGTCTCGGTGACTAAGAGTCAGGGAGATCCCAACATGGGACAAATGATGACTATTTCATCTGTAGATAACACAAACGCAAATTATTCCAGCGATTCATCAGCTCTATTCAAGCATTTCAACTTGTAGCCCATTGTTCAGCGAAGCAAATGGGAATCGCCGATACACTAATTGGGTGGAATGCTTTTTCTGTCCGTCACTCTGTCTGTTCTGATTCGTGTCGTGTCGTGTCCTGTGTTGTCGTGGCGGAACCAAGCGGAGCGTCACTAAATGGTGCAATCTTAGCACGCGCCCGGGTGGCCGGTTGAATGCGTCACGCTTGGGTGAAATGGGTGAGATGTAATTTCACCCAACCCTCTGAGATCTAAAAACTACGATAGTTGAACACAATAAATTCACAGGGCACGCAAGGATCTATGTGACCACAATTGCGTTATATTTTGAGCTACCTGGATCGTCATCTTCGGATCTAATGAGGTCAGACAAGATAAAATGTCAGTGTTGAAGTGCCCTTAGATATTTTCACGCAACCAGCTTTAACCTAAATGCCACTTATAAACACTGTTGTCTGGTGTTCATATTAGGTCAGTTATCTTACATGACATTTAAGCCGTCAAAATTATTAAAACCATCGGGGTTATTTTGATATCTGAACTTTTAATCGGAGCTAAATGCGAATTTTGGTGGCATGCTCCTAAATCAAAGGGCTTATCGAGGCTATTCTAAATCAATGACCTTGCCTGACATTCATTAAGTCAAAATGATAACTGTTTGGACGCCGCCATGACAAAAAATGCAATCAGCGTAAACAAACTAAGTAAGTAAAAAGTGATAGAGACCAAGTTGCAAGTCATCAAGTAAGTTTTCCAGCATTAAAGCGGTTTGGTTGTGACTTTGATTTAACGTCCACACTTAATCCATTGGCAATGGAGTTAGGTCATTATGCAATGAAATTATTTGCATTTCTAATTCCAAGAGTCTCGAGGTCCAAGAAACGATCTCAAAGTTATCTGACTTCGTCTAACACTACGCTGCCACATCACGCAGCATGAAAATAGAGATTTGTGGTCGATAACCATATCTAGTTGCCTTTCAGAGCGAAGGAAACACGATTACTTAATTTTGTTTGGACATTTCACTAAAAGCTATCAATATACATAGTTGGCAACAACTATACAAAAACAACGATATAGTACGTTAGGTAAGTTTCACACTTGCCACGTATGCATCAATCATCTCACATAAGTGCACCCTGCGACTGTTGTTAATCGATCGCCCAATGGTGTCGCCGAATGCTAAAAACCCAAACGAGCACACACACAGGCCGTGTGCTAGCTACAGACAGCTGTGATATATACGCAACCGGGTGGCTGGTTGAACACGACGCTGTCGTGAGTGCGGTTGATGGAGAACTTGACCCCCACTGAGATGTCGCAAGGTAAGAGTTTTAGACATCAAATTTGTAGAGTAAACAAGAATCTATGTGAGCTCATTTGTGTGATATTTGCATATCTCTGGAGCATATTGCGGCCTTCCAGTTAAAAAGGTCAAACTCGATATCAGTGTTGGAAGTTCCTTCAAGTTCAACGAAAACACCTTTCTCAGACAAAACGTCATTCTGAAATATTCTGGGTCAATGCCCTTACCTTTCCTTAAGAATGTCAAAATCACGAAAAATATTTCGAGATCACTTTGGCATTTGAATGTAGGATGGACGTGAAAAGCTATACGAGGCAGGAAGCTCTTCACAGCAAAATGCCGCTCGCAGTCAGTTCAGACTAATGGCTCACCCCGGTCTTCATAAGGTCAACATGATAAATTCAGTGACATCTAGTTGATTGAGGAATCTAGAAATTACCGCCAAAACTGCCCAACAAAACAAGTTTTCTATAAAAAGGCATATGATTTTCAACTTCATGTGATTCGCATGATTGACCCAAGGTATACGCATTTAGTTGACGTTCTGGTTTCAGCCGTCTAATTACATAACAAGCCAGCCGAAAAAAAAAACATTTGAATACCATAATCATGTTGTGGGTCAAGGATGAACACTACTATAAGAATACGCTTACCTGTAAACCATTGCCGAACTTTGACCCATTGTAGGTCAATGAAGGAGAAACTTATTCCATTGCGCCACAAGACCAGAAATTCTTTCGCCTAAATTAGGTGTCAAAAGCTTGGCACCACAGCACCACCCCGTTCGAAAGCCTCGAAAACACCGCACGGGAAACTAAACTCAATCCTAACCGACCGCGTGGTTATTCGGCGTTGGTTCATTCATTCACTGCGGTGAAAAAGGAAGTCACAGTGACGATCAAATGGATTATTACCACTCTCCTCCTGGAAACATGTAAAGAAGCTGCGCAGGACGGGTGAACATTGATTGGCCAGTGGTACAACAAGGTGAAACGAGACTGATGAAAACGTTACGTTATTTTAAAACCAGGCCGCTGCTGCAGGAACGTAGCCGTCCACAGTAGTTCCTTGCAATCATGCCAAGCGCGACAGTCCAGAAGCATTGTAGCGGCGCTGATAAGTGACAGCGGAAATATTGGGAAGGCTAGCGCTGACATTGGCGGCCGAAGCGAAAGCTTCCAGAAGCCTTGCGGAACCGTGAATTTCCCGAAATAAACGACAAAGCTCTGACCACGGTGGACATTTGGAGAGCAGCGTTTTGAAAGTTAAACAGTACCTAATTACGACTAAGTAAATAGGACGCTCACTGACCATGCTGGTATGTTTTCGATGGTTCATTCCGGGCCACTGAGTAGAATGCTTTTCCGCTTCCATTTCTTATTACTTGTTTCGCTACGACTTTGTACCTTACGTACTTCACAGCAGGACTATTTGGCATGATATCTGTACAAACCATGTTTGCCTTGATCTTAGGTGCTGATTGGCGCTGTTCTCAGCAGCATTTGGCCTCTTGTTGAACACAACACATCTGCAATAACCACCTTCTCTCGTACGCATATGAAAAGCGAGGGTGACGATAGCTGATCGCTGCGCCATGTTCGTCAAAGCTGTTCGTGACTCATCCCATGCTGCCTCACAAAAAGACTACGAATAGACTTATTATTAATAGACTTATTACGAATAGACTTCGCCAGCACTGTCACACCCACCCCTCGGACACCAGTGCGTCTGTGGCTTGGGTCATGTGATGACGGCCTATTACAGGTTGTGAAACTGGATTTTGGCAACGCACTGTTCGAAAGGCCGGCGGTTGTAAAAATAATGGCAAATGCACGTTTAGATAATGCAAACACAAGTCGCTCCCGTTCTTTACCACCTCCCTGAAAGCATTCTTAAACTGCTCTTGTCCATATTTAATCTGTGAAGGCTACGTCCTTACTGGCATTAGCCCGTCCGGCTGCTCTCAGCGTTGCGTCGTGGGGATGAAATTCTACGTTCGAGCAAGATAGTTTGCACTAACGAGTTGCTGTTTTTTCTGGGGGGTGGGGGGTACGGCCTGCGGACAGCGCATGACAAGTTCTGAAATATTTCCAACTGCTTGTTTTTGCATGCGCGGCTTAGAGATGTGACCATCGTGGGCTGCTGTACAAAATACGGCTGTCCTCGGGTGGACCGTCGTCCAAAATAGTGGCTACGTCACGTTAGCGCGGGGTGGAGTGATATAAGATTTACTCGGTTTTTATTGACAACTGAAATGGAAACCGCGTGGTGCCGGATAGGTAGTTGCACGTGCCATCCGTCATGTGCTTAGAGGCGGATC